ACTTACACTGGGCTGCTGGAGACACAGGTGCAGGTGCTAGAGCCTTGGAGAACCAGAGTGAGGTCAGCTGAGCCAAGACCTACTTGGGTCGGCCAGGCTAGGAAAGACCTGATCACACATCTAACAAGCTACTATATTTGGTAACAGAGAATGGAAGATCCAAAGACCCCATCCAACCTGATGTCATGATGTCAATGTAAACATTCATACATGTGGACACCATTTCAGGGACAAAAGGTAGGAAGAACAGTATTTTCCCAAAAGATTAAGCAGTACCTTAAGATATCATCAACTGTATTTTCTTTGTATCAGTTTTTAACTGGCTACAACTAGAAATTAATTTTCTAGCTTACCAAAGTAAGCTAGAAGTAAATACACCTTCCTCTATTTTGAGGGTGAAGGAGGATGAATACGACATACGACTTACACACACACAGACACACACACATGTATGAAAATAGCAGAATGAAACTGACTAAAAACTGACTACTAAGTAAAGGCTCAAGAAGATGTATGTTCTGGGATGGGAAGGTGGCTCAGTGGTAGAGCATTTGCCTTGCAGGCATGAGGCCCTGGGTTCGATTCCTCAGCACCATATAAGCAAAAAGAAAAAAGCCGGAAGTGGCACTGTGGCTCAAGTGGTAGAGCGCTAGCCTTGAGCTGAAGAGCTGAGGGACAGTGTCCACGCCCAGAGTTCAGGCCACACAACTGGACCCCCCCCCCCAAAAAAAAAAAGAATGTATATGTTCTGTAGAAAAAAACATTTCCACCAGGCATAGTGGCTCACATTTGTAACCCTAGCTACTCAGGAGGTAGAGATGAAAAGTAATGTTTCCAGAGACCCTATCTAAACCAATAAAAATTGAACATAGGGGCTGGGAAGTTGGCTCAGTGGTAGAGCGCTTGCCTTGCATGCATGAGGCCCTGGGTTTGATTCCTCAGCACCACATAAGCAAAAAAGAAAAAACCCGGAAGTGGCGCTGTAACTCAAGTGGTAGAGCGCTAGCCTTGAGCTAAAGAGCTGAGGGACAGTGCCCAGCCCCAGAGTTCAGGCTCCACGACCGGACCCAAAAAAAATTGAACAGTTTACACTGGTTATCATAGCTACTTGGGAAGCATAAAAAGGATTGCAGTCCAAGCTAGCCCAGGCTTAAATGCCAGACTCTATTTGAAAAATAATTTAGGTAGGGGAGAAGAATGATGAAAAGGTTGTCACTGACCAACCAAGATGTGCTATAAACACAATGGACATGTTACATTGAAACCACTTTGACCAACTATTTGAAGACATAAACAATAAAACTGAAGCAAAATGGGCTGAGGAGTGACCTAAGTGATAGACTGCCTGCCTACCAAAAGTTTAGGCTGATTCAACCCAAAAGTTTAGGCTGATTCAACCCATAGTACTGCCAGAAAGAAAAAGGCTCAATTTTTTCTGTACATAAAAATACTGTAAATACATAACTTTAAAACTTTCTTCCAGTGTTTTTAGAACAATCATCCTTTAAGGACACACACACACCCCCCCCTGCTTAAGCCAGTTGCTGGGGCTAACACCTATAATCCTAGCTACTCAGGAGATAATGGCTATGTAATTCCTGCCCCTCAGTTTTCTACAGTTGGGTACCAGTGGCTCACGCCTGTAATCCTAGCTAATCAGGAGGCTGAGATCTGAGGACCGAAGCATTTGAAGGATTTGAAAGCATTTGGGGCAGAAAAATCCCTGTGAGACAATTAACTACTCAAAAAACAGAAGTGGCGGGCTGGGAAGGTGACTCAGTGGTAGAGCGCTTGCCTTGCATGCCTGAGGCCCTGGGTTCGATTCCTCAGCACCACATAAGCAAAAAAAAAAAAAAAAAAAAAATCTGGAAGTGGCACTGTGTGGCTCAAGTGGTAGAGTGCCAGCCTTGAGCTGAAGAGCTGAGGAACAGTGCCCAGCCCAGAGTTCAGTCCCCACGACCAGACCCCCAAAAAAAAAATTAAATTAAAAAAAAAAAACAAAAACAGAAGTGGCACTGTAGCTTAAAGTGGTAGAGTGCTAGCCTTGAGCACAAAAGCTCAGAGACAGCACGGAGGCCCTGAATTCAAGCCCCACAACCAAGAAGTCTTCAATCTATGGTTTACATTGAAATCGCCAACAAAGCTTCTCCAGCATGTACATGGTTCAGCCAAGTCCATAAGACTCTTCTCTCCAATTAACTAACAAAAAAACCCACCAAAAGTGGAGCTGTGACTCAAGTGGTAGAGGGCTAGCCTTGAGCAAAAATGCTCAGGGATAGGGCAAGACAGGCACACACAAATCTCTTTTGTCTATAAAACCCTGTGGTGATTTTTTTTTTTTTTTTTGGGGGGGGGGTTGGTTGTAGGGCTTGAACTCTGGGCCTGGGCGCTGTCCCTGAGCTCTTCAGCTCAAGGTGAGTGCACTACCACTTCAGCCACAGTGCCACTTTCACCCTGTGGTGTGAAAGGGGTGATTTACATTACTGTAACTACTTTTGTACATCACTTTTTTTTTTTTTGTCAGTCATGAGGCCTGAACTCTGGGCCTGGGCAGCTCTTCAGCTAAAAGCTAGTGCTCACAACGCCACTTCCAGATTTTTCTGCTTATGTGGTGCTGAGTCGAACCCAGGGCCTCATGCATGCAAAGCAAGCGCTCTTCCACTGAGCCACCTTCCCAGCCCCTGTACATCACCTTTATAACAAAAAAATATATTTACAAAACCATCCTGTGAAATAAACATTAAGCAAATACTATCTATAGCAAAACTCTACTATATGTAACCCATGACTTCCTTCTAAAGTCTGCACCCTGGGGTTGTGGATTTAGCTCAGTACAAGAGTATTTGCCTGGCAAGCCAAGGCCCTGAGTTTGATCCTCAGCTCTAGAATAAATAATGTCTATACCCTAACAGTACAGCAAGAGTAATCTAATCCAAATACAAGAGAAAGTTCATTTAGAAATTCCTCAGGAAGCTATTCAGCATCCTAAAAAGATTTTTCAGAAATTCTATTATATTTAAATAATGAAAAATATTTTCCAGAACGCTTCATTGTAAAAATGTGAAAAACTTCACTAAAATGCTCCATTGTGGGACTAGAATGATTATCAAGTACAACTAAAACATCTGAACGTTATTAAGGGAAAAATAAGACACTCTAGTCTCTAGGCTTTCTTTTCATGTAATTCTGGAAGGGCAGATGATAACAAAGATAACTGAAGCTATGTAAATTTTAATTTTTTAGCTAAGCAGAGGTGATTTTTTTTTTTTTGGGTTGGTCGTGGGGCCTGCACTCTGGGCCTGGGCACTGACCCTCAGCTCTCAGCTCTAGGCTGTTGCTCTACCACTTGAACCACAGCGCCACTTCCAGCTTTTTCTGCTTATATGGTGCTGAGGAATCGAACCCAGGGCCTCATGGATTCAAGGAAAGCACTCTACCACTGAGTTACCTTTCCAGCCCAGAAGTGTTTAAAAAGAAAAAAAAAAACTATGTTAGCTATTCCAGTTCTACCGAACAATACTAAAAATAATGTTTTGAAAATAATTTATGGATAAATATAGGAAATTTGGGACCTCTTGGCTTCACACAATACATCACTATAGTTGCTTTTTTACTTTGAGTCATCTACGATGCCAAGTTGGCTTTAAGTGCTCATCTTCCTGCATTAGCCTCCCATGTGCTAGCATCATAGACATGTGCCAGCACTCCTATGTAGCAGTATTTAAAAAAAGTTTTTTGACTGAAGATGCTTGGATTATTTAAGTTTCCATTCTGATACATATTTTTGTTGGTGGTGGTAGTGGTTGTGAGCCTTGAAATTGGCTTGGATAGCTTGGGCACTATCCCTAAGTCTCTTTGTGCTCCAAGACAGCATTCTACCATTTGAGCCATAGTGCTGGAGATGAGTCCTCAGGAGGACTTTTCCGCCCTGACCAGCTTCAAACCATGATCTTCAGATCTCAGCCTGAGTGGCTAGGATTACAGGAGTAAGCTACTGGTGACTGGCTCATTTTGATAAGACTTTTTTTTTTTTTTTTTAAAGTTTAGTCTATTAGTTATCTTTACATTCCAGTAAGTTCCTTTGGAATTTTAAGCCAGAGTAAATTAGCCTGAACATTTAAAAAACATTAACCCAGTATCTTAACTAAGTACACATGTATACCTTTCTTAATTGTGCAATTCTGTTGTCTGTACTATGCAAAGGTGGTATTTCAAACTTTCTTCAAGTCAACTATACTGGTGGCAATTTATTGCAAAAGCACTCTGTGTGGGCTGGGAACATGGCTCAGTGGCAGAATGTTTGCCTTGTATGCATGAGGCCCTGGTTTTGATTCCTCAGCACCACACAAACAGAAAAAGCTGGAAATGGTGCTGTGGCTCAAGTGGTAGAGCGCTAGCCTTGAGCTGAAGAGCTGAGGGACAGCGCCCAGACCCAGATTTCAAGTGCTGTGTGTTGGCTGGAGGTATGGCTCAAGTGGTAGAACACCCAGCTGTGAGCAGGAAAATGTTACATGTGCTGAGGTGAAAGATCTCTCTAATTTACAAAATTAATGTTTTGTTTCTTCTAACTGGCTCCTATGACTTTGACTCCCAAATACAGAAAATTGTAATTAAAGAAATACAGCAATAAACACATTAAATTTATTATATAGTTTAAAACTCAAAAATAAATAAGCCACAACTATTGTAGAAATGTCACCATGGTGTCTGATCAGCATTATGAAAACTGTACGAAACATGGTAATTAATGGCTAAAGATGAAGCAGCGAAATAAATTAGTATGTGGGAAGAGTAGTGGTATCAGGATACCATTAAGTTTCCTATGTTCCCTTGGAAGGAAGAGGGCCCCGTGAAAACTAAAAGTTTGCAGTTTAGTTACAAAATTTAAAAACCCAAAGTGTATAGAAAACTCAAGTATAAAATGTTTAATAATAAAAATTAAGTTAGTTTCTTACCTCTCTATTTCATTTTTTGTTTGCTTTCCCATGCTGGGGATTGAACCCAAGTCTCCAGGCATACTGGACAAGTTTTCTGACTATGCAACATAACGTATTAAATTTAGGAGACAAGTGATTTCTAGTATGCATTTTCTATTTAGAAAAACTCCTCTTAGAATTTTTTAAAAGTGCATAATAGATATGATAGGCTTATCAAAAAATTTTCAAAACTCGGTATATATTCCTCATTTCCAATAATCTACAAACCTAATAAAATATAAACTGAATCAAATTTTGAAACTGTCTTTTGACTGGATAAAAACACCAAGTATCTATTTTAAAAATATAGTCTCAAATAACTAAAATAAAAAATACTGACCCGACTGACCACTGTTTTTCTCCAGAATACTGAGTTCTAAATGAGCAAAAATTTATATACAGTTTTCTAGTTTTAAGGGAAGCATTTCTTTTGGTTTCATTTAGAAAAGTTACTTCTAAAGGAATATACTGATAAGACAAATAGCACTATTGTTTTCAGTACCTAAATTTTCACAGAAATGTCAAATTTTGTCCCCAGAGTTTATGCATTGGCCTATGAGACTTACAAACAGCAACACAGATGGAGACAAAAAAATAAAAATCCCACAGAACTATATAAGAGATTCTACTTCAGTAATTGAAGGGCAATTCTAAAATGCAAAGTAAAAACCCAGTTAAGGCAGCTTTAAAAGAGAAGTTATTCACCCAAAATAGTGCTACCATGGTATAATTCATTCCTTAAAAAACTGTACTGTTTAGCCATAAAAGCCAAAAATCAAAACCAGCACTGCAGTTAGAATGCAGCCTCAGCTGTTTTTACTTCGGTGAATGAAAAAAAAAAAAAGATCATAATGCAAATGAATGGAATTTAATATATGTATATATACATACATATACATATATATATACATATATATATCCAGAGATGTTTATGTATACCACCAGACCATGTGTTAGCAATTCCCCGTTCCTCACAAAGTCAGTATAACTGTTGTAGAAAAATCAACTGTGGCTCTGAATACCCATTCATGGCAGACCTCAGCAATGTATCTGATGTAGGAGACTGGTTATCTGTGACAGGAAGAAGCATGTGCTGGTCCTCTGTCCCAAGTGGAAGAGCTAATGGTAAAGTCATATCAAAAGGCTTCACATCTATAGTTTCTGACACAGGACTTTTTTGTATGGAATCTTGTTCACTCAAAGTGTGATCCTCAGCACTGGAATCTAGATTTTTATCTGCACCTGAAATGGAAGAGGGAAAATGTTGTTATATTATCTTTAAAAATAAAACATCCGAAGTAGACTAATCTACTCACAGGTCTCTGAAATTACATTCCAACCTCAACACCTTAGTGTAAGCTGTTTCTTTTACTGATATGCCTAGGGTAATCTGGGTCTCAAGGATGGGTTCACTCACCAATTCCATCATAAAAATAAATTATTCCAGACCAGAGTGAACTTTTTATCTAGCGCATTCTTGTCAAATTTCATGCTCTACTCTGTGGCACCACTGCTATTAAACATTAAATCTTCAACTAGTATAAATGTTTATACTTTCCTAAGTCCTTCAAAGTACTGAACAGTGATAGATCAAATGAATACTATTTGTTCATTGGATATTTTTATAAATAGCCACCAGTAATCTATGAATTCAAGTTCAGAAGTAGGAACTTATCTCCAGGGTGAGAAATTCTGTACTGCAGGAAGCAATTATCATAACTGGAGATGAACTGTTCAGTTTCCACTAGCTTTATTTGTTCTTGTAACTCCAAAGTGTTCATATGACTTCATTATACTTGTTACAGTGTACACATGCATAGAAATGTGCCGGTGAAATTCTCCCTTTCATACTATTATATGTTAATAAAAACAAAAGCAGAAAAATAAAACACGTATTTGCTTTAGTAAAATTCTAATTCTCAAAGCCAAGTATCAGTGGCTCATGTGTGTAATTCTAGCTACTCAGGAGGTGAGATCTCAGGATTGTAGTTCAAAGCCAGCCTGGACAGCAAAGTCCATGAGACTCTTATCTCCAATTAACCACTCAGAAAACCAAATGGCGTTATGGCTCAAGTGGTAGAGTGATAGCCTTGAGCTGAAAAGCTGAGGGGCAGCTCCCATGCCTGGAGTTCAAGCCTCATGACCAACAAAAACAAAAAAAAAACCCAAACCTATAAGGACTAGGGTATATGGTTCAATCCTCTTGCCTCTGCCAACTGAGGAATGAGATTACATATGTGCACCACCACACTTGTACATGTGATGTTTTTTAAAAAAAAAAAGAATAGATTATTAGCCCTGGGTTCTACTCTTCACTAGCACATAAACAGAAAAAGCTGGATGTGATGCCACGGCTCAAGTGGTAGAGTGCTAGCCTAGCAAAAAAAGTGAAGCTGTTTGTGTATGTCCAGTTTGAAAATACAGATACACACTGGGTACTGGTGGCTCAAACCTGTTAATCCTAGCTACTCAGGAGGCTGAAATCTGAAGATGGTGGTTTAAAGCCAGCCCAGGCAGGAAACTCCGTGAAACTTATCTCTAATTAACCACCAGAAAATGGGAAGTGGTGCTATGGCTCAAAATGGTAGAGTGTTAGCCTGAGCAAAAGAGCTCAGGGACAGAGCTCAGTTCCTAAGTTCAAGCCCCACAGCCAAAAAAGAAAAGAGAGAATAAAACACAGACACAGAATGCAAATTGTTAGAATTTTACACTTCAACACTTACAGTTCAAATGGCATGAATGATAATAACGCATTTTTAAAAATATATAGACATTTACCAGAATGGACCTTTGTTTTATGCTTCTTTAAATTTTTAATATCTGTGTAAGAATTTCCACACAACTCGCAGATAAATGGTCTTTCTCCTGAAAAACAAGTTAAAAAGTTTAAAACTTAATTTTAAAAGCTGTTGGCCAAGGCAAAATATCAGTGTTTATGAACATGAAGCAAAAATTATATTATTTAAATTTGGTTTCAAACTCACATTTTTATTACTTGGTTAAACATAGTGAAATGAGAAGTCTTGTTCATATAGGTGTTCATTCCTCTATAGAAAGCACATCCCAATTTCAGGGAAAATGTTCAATTTCATGTTTTGAAATTTACAAACTCCTTGGGCTGGGAAGATGGCTCAAAAGAAACCTTCTCTTATTTGTATCATATACTTATTGGGTATCAATTATATGCTCAGACCCTGGCTAAAAGAGCTAGAAAAAATATATAATTTTAAGCCAGGTGCTGGTGGCTCAGGCCTGTAATCCTAGCTACTCCGGAGACTGAGATCTGAGGATTGAGGTTCAAAACCAGCCGAGGCAGGAAGGTCTGTGAGACTCTTATCCCCAGTTAACCACCAGAAAACCAGAAGTGGCACTGTGGTAGAGCACTTGCCTTGAGCTGAAGAGCTCAGCGACAGCTCCCAGACCCAGAGTTCAAGCCCCATGACCGACTTTAAAAAAAAAATTAGCTTCTACTTTTAGGTATCTTACAAATTAGAACATCCTTTAAAAATGACATGCTACAATATAATTTTTTTTAACTAAAAACTACTCTGGCTAGGGATATAGCTAAGTAATAAAATATATGCCTAAAATACATAAGGCTCTGGTTTTGACCCCTCGCACTGGGGAAAAACAAAACAAAACAAAAAATGCTGAAGATCCAAGGAGCATGAGAATGCAGAAGTTGCCAAGTGAAAATAAAAAGTTTAATAAGAAAAGTTGATGTTGGGCCAGGGACTGGTGGCTCACACCTATAATCCTAGCTACTCAGGAGGCTGAGATCTGAGGACCATGGTTCAAAGCCAGCCTGAGCAGGAAAGTCCATGAGACTCTTATCCATTAATTGCCAGAAAACCAGAAGTGGTGCTGTGGCTCAAAGTGGCAGAACACTAGCCTTGAGTGAAAAAGCTCAAGGAAAGCACTCAGGCCCTGAGTTCAAGCCCCATAACTGATGACCACTGCCCCCCCCCCCCCCCGAAAAAAAAAAACAGGAAGGAAGGAAAGAAGGAAAGGAGGAAAGCAAAGGTAAGTTAATATTATCTTTTCCTTTCCATTCCATTCTTTTTCCTTTGTAGCACTAGGATTTGAACTCAGGGTTTCATGCTTGTCAGACAGGTACTCTACAATTTGAGCCGTGTCCTCAGCTTTTCTGCTTTAACTTTTCAGATTGGGTCTTGCATTTTTACCTGGGGCCGGCCTGTAACTGCAATCATTCTACAGAGGCTTCCCTTGAAGCTTCGACCACAAGCATGAGTTGCCAAATCCAACTTGTTGACTGAGAAGGCGTCTTGCTAACTTTTTGATCCGCCTGGCTTTAAACCTCAATTATCCTGATCTCTACCACCCAAGTAACTGACATTATAGGTAAGAGCCATCATACCCAACTATTCCTTTTCATTTCTTGATATATCTCTAGTTTGATCCAAATTGTTTAAAAAACTGTTATGTTTTTTAGAATAGCTACACAATTCTTGACCAAACTTGTACTTGAAATAAAAAATAAAAACACAACAAAATAATCAAATAAAAAGTTGATATTACACAGTAAAATACTAGTACATATAAGTTATGACTAGATACCATATAGTCCATTATGGTTTCAAAGCCAAGGTTTATATAAAAGGAAATTAAGAGAGAACAAAAAATAATACGTTCTCCCTAAACACAGACCTGTATGGGATCGAAAGTGTTTGTTGAGCTCTCCTGAGGAAATAAAACTTTTCCCACAAATACCACATATGTATGGTTTTTCACCTAGATGGAAAATAAAAGATATCCAAGTGGTGTACTATACCAATATAATATACAGATAAACTAAAGTAAGCTATTTAAAATATACTTAAATTGAAAATTCTACTGTATTTTAGAGGTATTCTCAAGTGATCCATCTTAAATGAGTGAGTATACTGTTTATAACCGGAAACTTTTCATAGGCTAAAACTAAATTCCTGAAAGTCTCTTCTCGTAGAGGTGACTTAGGCAATGAATTTGTATGTGACTAAGAGCACATTAAATTCATTAACCCACATTTTAAATCTTAAAAAAAAATGTATTATATAAAAGTGGCATACAGAGGAATTATGGTTAAGCTTCTTCCCTCACTCTCTCCAAGATTTTCCCTCCTAACCCCAAGACCCCGTATTTCAAATCTTGCTATCTGCTGCATTATTAAAAAAGAAAATGAACATTTAAGGAATATTATAATTTTAAAAGTCTACCCTACCAAAAAAAAAAAAAAAGACTCAGGTTTGCTTCAAACCTGATCATTTACACTGACTCATCTAAGTTGCAAGCCTTTGGAATGTCTGTGCAGGAAAGGTCATAATAAATTACAAAGTCAATTTTTCACCAGAATGCATCATCCACCTTTAAATTTCACTCTACAATTGTACCCAAAGGAAATAAATTCTCAAGAGGCTAAGGTTTCCTAAAATCCTAAATCAAGTCTTAACTGCAATGTACACAGTAGCAAAATTATCTAATTTTAATGTATTCAAGTTACATAATGAAATTTTTTTACCTACCTTGTACTCTAGAAAACAAGTCTGTTTTTGCATCTAATATTTATGTGAAAACCATAGACAGCCTTAAAAAGTACAAACATATTTAACCTCAAAAGTCAATAATCTACCTTCTGTAAAGATCCAGTTCTGCTTTTATTTACAACTTTCTTTACTTCAATCGGCTTCTCCATGGTAAACTCTTACCTGTATGTTTTCGAGAATGAGTGATAAGAGAACTAGAGACAGCAAATGCCTTCCCACAGGTGTCACATACATAAGGTTTTTCTCCAGTATGTCTGCGGACATGATAGGTCAGTGTGCTGGCTTGGGCAAATCTCTGTCCACATCTGTCACAAACATATGGCTTCTCTCCACTGTGCTTCCTATCAGTAAATAAATACATAAGGTCAGAGTCTGGTAAGCAAAACAATCTGGAGGTTGATCTACAGAAAGTGTTTTTCATAGCATTTTATTAAACCTTATCTTTTCAGTTTGAAATAAGATGAAGTTGTTTCTATGTTTTATCATCAATACATTAATTCTAGCTGGGTGCCAGTGCTCACACCTACAATCCTAGCTACCTAGGTAGCCCAGATCTGAGGATTGCGGTTTGAAGCCAGCCCAGGTAGAAAAGTCTGTGAGATTCTTTTTTTGTTTTTGGTCAGTCACAGGACTTGAACTCTGGGCCTGGGTGCTGTCCCTGAGCACTCAAAGTGAGTGCTCTACCACTTGAGCCAGAGTGCCACTTCTGGTTTTCTGATGGTTAACTGGAGATAAAAGTCTCATAGACTTTCCTGCTTAGGCTGGCTCTGAACCATGATCTTCAGATCTCAGCCTGAGTAGCTAGGATTACAGGCGTGAGCCACCTACCTCAGGCCTGTGAGATTCTTATCTCCAATTAATCATTAAAAAGCCAGAAATAAAGCTGTGGCTCAAGTGACAGGTCATCAGCCTTGAGAGGAAAAGCTAAAGGATAAGGGACAGTGCCTGAGTTCAAGCCCCAATACTGGCACCAAAAAAAAAAAAAAAAAAAACCTAACAACAACAAACCCTGAGATGAGTTAAACTGAAGTTTTGCCAAAATCTTTTCTATTTTACCAGTGAATACCTGATACTAAAATTGCTGTTGTCTATTCATGCTCATCTGTCAAAAAATCCTTCCTCAAATTGCTAGCACTTCCTCTCAGGTGAAATTCTGCTTCCTATTTCTCTCTGAAAAATTGAAAATCAGTAACTAGCATCTGCTCCCACTGGTGCCAGACTTTGGCAGAGTCCACATAGTGCTAGTTTTCAGAGTGAAGTTGTGGGGTCATAAAGAGTTCCACCCACACTTCCAGGTAAAGCCAAAAGGGCAGGAAGTGGACAGTGTTGGAGTCTCACATACCTGAAGGGTTTCCATCTTTGGTCCTACCTTGATATTCTATTCATCCCATTTGAAATGAAAATCCTTACCCTGTGCCATTGTACCGTGGAAGTAAGTAAATTATTCATTTTTACAGGTGTTCACAACTAGTGTGTGTACAGTTTTAGAAGAGACTTTGGACTTGGATTTTTGAGCAGTGCTAGAACTGTGAATATGAGTAAAGAATCCCAGAGCCCTGCCTTGGGTGCCTAACACTCTCTTTTCAAAGTAAGTTTACATTTTTCCACCCCTGAGCCTGTGATGGATAAGATCTCGCCAATTCCTGAGGTGCCCTCGGGAGATCTTTCCTATTGTCCCTATGGAAAGTACTTTTTCCTTTTTAAAAATTAATATGTGTGTGCTGTGCGTGTGTGTGCGTGTGTGTGCGTGTGTGTGTGTGTGTGTGTGTGTGTGTGTTACTGTGGTTTGAAGGCAGGACTGTGCATTCGCTAGGAAGTTGCTTTACTTCTGAGTTACACACTCAGAACTCAGAACCCATCCGTGGATGGGTTTATAATCAGATGGGCTATTAGGAAGTGCCCGAAAATTAGAAGATAGGATCTAGTTGTGCCATTGGAGTCTGTCTTGAGGTTAGCCTTTTCTCCCCCCTCCCCCAGCCCCTTTCTCTCTCTCTGTCTCTCTCTCTCTGTCTATAGCCCCCAAGGTTAAGCAGCTCACTCTACTAGGTCCTCTCCACTACAACACTCTGCCTCACCAGAGGTCTAGAAACAGCAAAGCCAACTGATGAACTGACTAAAACCTGTGAAACTGTGAGACAACATAAATGTTTCCTACTTTCAGTTGATTTTCTCAGGTAATTAGACATAGCAACAGAAAGTAAGACATCAAGACATAGAGTACATGTTGATCATTGCATAAAATCATACCTTTCAACTTAAAACTGCTCTACACACAAACCTGTCTCAGGAAATGGTAATTCTATGTTTTCAAATTCTTCAGGCCCTGAAGCTTGAAATCACTATTTTATTCTTTCATTTAGTTCCACAAGCAATCTGTCAGTATCAGTTTTACCTCTCCAATGTATCCAGAACCTGTCTAGTACTTATCATCCATGCCTGAACAACCATCAGGCCACTTGCACTTAGGTTTTATCCATTGATTTCTAACTGGCCACCCTATTTCCACTCTGACAATTCTAAAGCCTTTTCCTAATATAACAGTCAGAACGATTGAGCATCTTAAAATGCAAATGAGATCATATCACTTATTTCTCAATCTTAACAGGAAAAGCTTCACAACTGCCAACAACAACAAAAAGAAACCCTTGTCCCATCCAAGCACCCTATTACCATTATGGTCTTATTTTCCAGTTTTCCCCATCTCTTGCTTATTCCCCTCCAAATGCTGTGGCTTGCAGTTTCCTTGAATGTGCTAAGAATACAGTACTCTACTATCCTGAATTCAGATACAGTAGCATGTTCAGAAGACTATGATGATTAACAAACTTAAAGGTCAAATGGCTCATTTTTGTTTACCTTGCATGAATCTTGAGATTACTAGAAGTTGCAAATTGCAAATTGCAAACATCACATTGATAGGGTTTTTCTTCCCCATGGTGCATACGACTGTGGAAGACAAGCTGGCATTTCTGAGCGAATCCTTTATCACATAACTCACATTTGTATGGCCGCTCACCTAACAAACAAGAAATTTTGTATTAAGGAGGAAAAATTCTGTTTCAATTGCTAAGGGCAAATAGGTTTTCAAAAGTGGTTATCAATAGTACCAGTTTGGATATTCAGAAAATGCTAAGTGCTAGGAACAACTGCAAATAAGATCTATTTCTAAACTATTTGAAAACATTAGAAGACTTAAGAGAAATTGTTTCTCAATTTATAATAGTAAAAAGTAACCAATAGCCAGGCGCCGGTGGCTCACACCTGTAATCCTAGTTACGTAGGAGGCTGAGATCTGAGGATCGCAGTTCAAAGCCAGCCCGGGCAGGAAAGTCCGTGAGACTCTTATCGCCAATAAACCACTAGAACACCCGAAGTGATGCTGTGGCTCAAGTGGTAGAGTGCTCACCTTGAGCTGAAGAGCGCAGGGACAGTGCCCAAGCCCAGAGTTCAAGCCCCACGACCGACCAAAAAAAAAAAAAGTAACCAATGATTTAAAAAAAGTGTATTGCATCTAAAAACATAGATCTTAAGTGTACCTATGGGTGTTCAAACTCTGTAAAATAAAAAAGAACATATAAAAGAACATGTAAAATAAAACTACAGAAGCTGAGAAAAGAAGTTATGTATAATTTAGAAACCAACAGTTGAGGAAGCATGTAATAAGAAATGTTAATATTAGTGAAAATTGGCCTGAGTTGTAATTATATTTTCTCTTATAACTGTAATCTGTTAAATACTTAGAAAGCTTACACATACTTTGAGAGAAAATATAAGATATAAAGGAGCAATGCATTAGGATCTGCATAACAATGAACAATACCGCAGCCTTTAATATTTGGTTTGTAATCACAAATTTTCAAGTGTCTAATGCTGAAATACTTTTATGAATAAAAGAATGGCAAATTTTGGTCATAAGTAGTCAACAACATGTGCTACCAAACTCTATAAAAACAACAACAGTATTTTAGGGCCTGGCACTCATGGCTCACGCCTGTTATCCTAGCTACTCAGGAGGCTGAGATCTGAGGGTCACGGTTTGAAGTCAGCGTTGGACAGGAAAGTCCATATAAGACTCTTATTTCCAATTAATCACCCCCAGAAGTAGAGGTGTGGCTCAAAGTGGTAGAACACTAATCTTGAGCAAAAAAAAACAACCTAAAAAACAGTGCCTACACCCTGAGTTCAAGCCCCATAAGCAACAAAACAAAAAACAGTATTTTAGGCTGAGGTTCTACCTTAGTGGTAGAGTGCAATATCATGTTCCAAGTCCTAGGTTAAATCCCCAGAACAAAACCATGAAACTATTTTAGACAGAGTATAAAACAATCACATCTTCCCCACAAACCAGTCTTACCTGTGTGGGTTCTTACATGTGTTTTCAGCTGGTTACACTGTGTAAATGCTTTTCCACACAAGTGGCAGACGTAAGGCTTCACTCCTTTGTGTATTCTCATGTGCCTTCTCAAGCTGCTGGCTTCTGAAAATATTTTCCCACATGTGTTACACATTGGCTTGGCCTTGGAGTACCTCTGATCCAGATCTTCTCCAGAGTTCTCTACCTCATAAGGACTCTTGATGCTGGCTATATTAGACATAGAATGTTCTTTCAGAGCACAATTTGGCTGTGATTTTCCACGTTTCCGTTTCACTGTAGCAGTCTGAACAGTATCTTGTGCCGGCGAAGTATTTTCCACAACTGATGTCAATTCAAGTTCTGAACGATCATTTCTTTGGGCAACTTGTTCGACTACAGATGAGGACAATTTACTTGCATCTAGGAATTCAACAGATGTGTTCTCTAAAATGTCACCAGAATATTGCAGTGTTTTATTCTGTCCTGTTTTCTGGGAATTAAAAGCTTTTTTCTTCTTTTTAGTTTGAGATGACTTCTTTGCTAAAGCCCCTTGTTTAGCATTTGTCTGACCTAAATCTGCAGATACTTCTGATTTCTCCCGATTATTATAATCTTGAAGAGTAAGAAGACAAGACTGTTGATTCAATTCAATGTTTCCAGTAATACTGGATATCTCTGTAGAAGAGGGATTAGCAATAAAAGCAAAATCTTCCATCTTTATTTTACACTTAGTTACCACCTCTTCCACTTTGAGATAATCAGCAGCCTGATGAATTTCTTTAACGTTCCAACTGTAAGGAAAAAAGGCTAAATGACAATATTCTGATCAAAGAAAAACTTTTTGATAATAGAGCTGAAAATACGACTCCATGTATTTTAAAGACCTAATGAAGTAGGATAAACAAGGTGTAACTTAACAAAGGTACAAAACTAAATTCTGTCAGAATTAAAGTTTAGACAAATATCTCCAATTTTACAGAACCTAAAAAGATAAAAAAAAATGCCTATTCATAGCAGTAATGAACTATTACAGAAAAATATGATGTTACATTTTCTGGCTGTTTTAAAAAGAAACTGAACACATAAATTGTTGTTAGCAACTCACTGTTTTCTCTCATTTTCCTGAAGCCTCTTCAGACAGCAACCAATTTTTTCTAGATAGGCAACAGGAAGAGTCTAATGAAAATTCTTTCCTACCATTTCCCCTGCTACCTTGGGAGAGGGCTTTGAATTGGGCTTCCCAAACATTTCTGTGCATGTGAACCACTCAAAGATCTTATTAAATGAAGATTCAAATTCATTAAGTGTGTGATAGAAAAGGAGTGTCTTCATTTCTGGTGAACCCTGTGCCCTGGATCTGGGGATCATAGTTAGGGAGACAAGGTTTTAGAATGTGTGAATCTTTCTCCCAATCTCTCCCATTTCTTGGTGATACTCAACCTAAATGGACTGGAAAGTTTTCCACATTAAGAAAAATACAGAAAGACAATCCATGCTATTCAACATTGTAGCCAATAGTTATTGCACATTGTGCTGTGTATTATACTTGGAGGGAAATTAAATATCAAATAGTTCCTGTTCTCTAAGTTTACAATACAGAAAAAGGATGATAAATCTAGTGTTGGCTCTGGCATTTCTAGCTGAACTAATTACAGTAAGGCAAAAATCACAGGTCTTAATTTTCTTATGTATAAAATTATTAATAATGGCCACTTCGAGGACAGATTCAAACACAGAGACACATACGCCCCCTCCTCAAGTAACCTTCCCACACCTGCCATTTTCCTCAGATATGTGATTGTCTAAGACAATCTCTATCTTCCTTTTTCATTTTAAGTCAGAACAAAAGGGATTTAATTATAGCTGGTGATGTAGTGTTTATAATATTAATTTTTTTTAAAAGGGAAAAAATTTGGGGGACAGGCACAGCTGACTCACTTCTGTTATCCTGTTACCACAGTTTGAACTTAGCCTGGGAAATAGTAAGACCCCATCTCAACAAATAGTGTGGTGGTTCATACCAGCTATACCAAAAGTATAAATAGGAGGATCATGGTCCAGGCTGACTCTAGAAAAAAACTTGAGACCCTGTTTGAGAAATAACCAAAGCAAAAGAGCTGAGGAAGTGACTCAAGGGATACAGTGCCTGTCTAGTAGGCTTGAGGTAGAGTTTAAACACCAATATCACCAAAAACAAAAATGAAAAATAAAAAAACTGTACACATAAATGGATATGTGATATTGAACTCCCTTTTCTCTTATATGCATGCTAAAATTTGTAATGAAATTTTAAAAATAGCTAGCATCATGAGCCTCTAAGCTCTCAAAAAGTATCCTCCAGTATGTCTCCATGTTGACCTCTTTCCTCCAGTACCACTGTGTGATTCCTTATTTAACCTAGTATGATAGCTCTTAAAATCTCTTTCGTTACAATTATTTTTAGCTCATTATAGATTAGTAGATTCACAGGCTAATTTAGTAACCACCCACAAGCTTACAATATTTTATTTTCTTGTGAAAACCTATCCTAAGTCCTTAACTAAATCACACAGCAACTAACTCTCCTAAATAATACTGCCTAAGATATTATTTTTATTGGCCTTTGACTATCATTTTTAAAATAAATCATGAATCTGAATCTTCATAGTCAATTTAATTCTGTATTTGCAAAGAAATTGCGCAAATGTCTCAAGAACATATTAAAATAATCTTATTTGCTTTTTTTCTTTTGGTTGGTTGTGGGGCCTGAATTCTGGGCCTGGGTGCTGTCCCTCAGCTCTTCAGCTAAAGGTTCACACTCTACCACTTGAGCCACAGCGCCACTTCCAAACTTTTCTACTTATGTGGTGCTGAGGAATTGAACCCAGAGCCTCATACATGCAAGGCAAGCACTCTACCACTGAGCCCCTTCCCAACCCTCTTACTTACTTTATACCAAATTTTCTTACATATATACAGCATTATCTAAAAACATTTTATCCTATGCATTTATTGATTTTGTTACATTGTTATTTAAAAATACAACAAGCGAGACACTCCTATAGTGAACATCAAATTTATGCTTTTACTTAACCAAGATGTTAGTCTCAAATTATATCTATACTTTGTGTTCTATTAAATAAGCCACCAAACAGATAACAAGATTAGGTAGCCTTAGCTACCTTAGCCCAGAGCTGATGGTTCACACCTGTAATCCCACTACTACTCAGGAGACTAAGATCTGACGATCCTGGTTTGAAGCCAGCCCAGGGAGAAGAGTCCATGAGACTTTTTCTTTTTTTTTTTTATTGGTTGTGGGGCTTGAACTCTGGGCCTGGACCCTGTCCCTGAGCTCTTCAGCTCAGGTGAGCACTCTGCTACTTGAGCCACAGCGCCACTTCCAGTTTTCTGAGATTAGAGGCTCACAGACTTTCCTGCTCAGGCTGGCTTTGAACCACAATCCTTAGATCTCAGCCTCCTGAGTAGCTAGGATTATAGGTGTGAGCCACCTGAGCCCAGTTCCATGAGACTCATGTCCAATTAACCACCAGAAAGTGGCGCTGAGTATCAAAAACCACCAGCAGTGGCACTGTGGCTCAAAGTGGTAGAATCCAGTTTCTGAGTTCAAGCCCCATAACAAACAAAAAGAAAAAAATTAGATAGCCTTTAATACCCCCCCCCCCCCACACACCCAACAATTAAGTCACATTGATTGTTCAATACTGAAAGAGTAACACAAACTACTTTACACATACTCTATAATCTCACTAACAGTTAACAGAACCAATCAGCACTTCTTTATTTCACTAGCTGATCTTTGTTTATAAGCATTTTAGTGTTTTCAAACTTGTTTTCATCTTTTGAAGAGTCACTGAAGGTCATTTCATTATATATTGCAAGGTATATGCTAAACTCCTTAATGGATTAGTTCCAGTAATATTCAGAACATGCCTATGAAATCTATTATAATCCTTATCAATGAACTAGGGGAGTTGTAACTCAGTGATAGAGCACTTGACTAGCAGGCAGAAGGCACTAAGCCGCACTCCAACCCCATATAAACACACACAAAACTCTGGGTTCCAGAAAAATTTAGCCTTTAAGATCATAAAATGTTGACTTTAAGCCAATTTAATTTTCTATTAATCTGCTTGTTTTGTTACTTTTTATTTTGGTATAAGTCTTACTCTCCTGGGTGTACTTTACAACTAATTATTCAGCTTGCCAGGAAAAACATGCACCAAAAAAGTTTGAACAAGACACCTGGCTCTTCTTCACATTGGTTCTTTGTATGATGGCACAAAGGAAGATGCACTGATGTGGGTTTATATCAGTAAGACTTTTTCCTGAATGGGTTCATTGAGAAAGAAAAACCCATGAAATTCAAAGTCAACTAAAATTCATTGTTCTGAGGCCACTTTCTATTACATATTATAAATACTCTTAGATCAGAGGTACTTGCATAATTAGCTATTTAGCATATTTAAATTATTTATCATACAAGTTCAGTCTATTACAGTGCTGTTTCTTTAATCAACTTACACAGACTGACTCACTTCAATATTTCACTGTATCAAAATTTCAAAGTAGGACTGGTAATGTGGCTTATTCATAGAGTGCTTGCCTAGCATGTATGAAGCCCTGGGTTCAATTTCTCAGTACCACATAAACAGAAAAGGTGGGAAGTGACACTGTGGCTCAAGTGGTAGAGGGCTAGCCTTGAGCATACAGAGGCCCCAGGACAGAGCCCAGGCCCTAAATTCAAGCCTCAGGACCATCAAAAAAAATTTTTTAAGTAATTCCAAAACATCTCTTTTTTTAGGGGTACTAAAAATTAAAAACTCAGGGCCTTCTGTGACGTGTGCTACTTACTTAAGCCATGCCTGGAGCCAAACATTTCCTTTGTATAAGGCTTGAAAATCATCCTGATTCGGGGCTGGGAAGGTGGCTCAGTGGTAGAGCACTTGCCTTGCATGGCTGAGGCCCTGGGTTTGATTCCTCAGCACCACATAAGCAAAAAGAAAAAAGCCGGAAGTGGTGCTGTGGCTCAAGTGGTAGAGCGCTAGCCTTGAGCTGAAGAGCTGAGGGACAGTGCCCAGGCCCAGAGTTCAGGCTCCACGACTGGACCCCCCAAAAAAAAAAGAAAGGAAAATCATCCTGATTCTAGCTTTATAAAGAACTGCATTCTCATGATCAGCAGCAATACAAAAGGAGAGGAGATCTACTGGAAAAGTATGATTATACATCCAAATGTTAATAGTGACTATCAGTGGGTGACACAATGTCAAGATGTTTCTTTTTATCCCTTCACTTTTCTAAGAAATATCCATGAAGAAACTAACCAAAGGAAACTACTGTTAATTTCAACATGAGGTTTTCAAGTATGTCCCCATTTAATCTTTTTTTTTTTTTTTTGTCGGTTGTGGGGCTTGAACTCTGGGCCTGGGCGCTGTCCCTCAGCTCTTCAGCTCAAGGTGAGTGCTCTACCACTTGAGCTACAGTGCCACTTCCAGTTTTCTGGTGGTTTATTGGAAATAGGAGTCTCACCATCTTTCCTGACCAGGCTGGCTTTGAACTGCAATCCTCAGATCTCAGCCTCCTGAGCAGCTAGGATTATAGGCGTGAGCCACCGTGCCCGGTGCCCGGCCCATTTAATCTTTACAATAACATGAAGGTAATTATTACCATCTAGGCTTTTGTTTGTGAATTTTGTTTTTTGTGTGCAGTTACTAGGGCTTGAAATCAGCTTGGGCACTACCCTTTAGCTTTTTCAGTCAAAGCTGACACTTTACCATTTGAGCCACAGCTCCATTTTTCAGTTTTTTTTGTTTGTTTGTTTTGTTTTGTTTTTGTAGCTTTTTTTTCCTGCTCAGGCTGGCTTAAATCCCAATACCCAGATCTTAGCCCGAGTAACTAGGATTATAGGTATGATCCATCTCTTTCTAATTTTATCTTTTTGTTTCTTTTTTTAACAGAGAGTGAAACTGAGGCCTAAAGAGGCTCAAGGAGACAGTGACTAGCAGGTAAAGTTTAATTCCAAAGTCCCAATCTTCTGTATCTGAAAATTCACTTCCCAAAGAGATGGAGGAAAGAGGAGAGTCATAAATGGTTCCATTTCTCTTTACTTTAATCTTCTATCTTTACTTTCCTCTTACAAGTAAGAATGTGTTGCTATTAATTTAATTATATGATTCATTATATAGAGAAGAAACAGTGTGGCATTATCAGTCTCTTTAGAACTGACTTGTTAAGGTCAGAAGCACAACAGCACCTCTGAATTAACAAGCATTATGTAACAGTGGTTATCAGTGGGTGGCAGAATTTCAGGTACTTACCTCTTTTTTTTATATCTATTAGTAAACAAACACTGTTATTTATTTTGAAATATAGTTACTCTCTAGATCAAAATCAGGAAGAGTTCTACAAACAGCTATTTAAGGCTGGCAATGCAAACATCCTTTTAAGAGCCCAGAGGGTTTTCCTTCTTTCTCCATCTTCATTCTAACCACTTTACAAGAAGTAGAAAACAGGGCTACTGGTGTGGCTCAAGTGGTTAAATGTCTGCCTAGAAAGCTAGAGGTCTTGAGTTCACACTCCAGTATCAATGCAGCCAAAAAGAGAGAGGGGGAAGGGAGAAAGTGTGTGTAAGGGAGAATTCTTGAAGAATGAAACAATCAAAACATAATGGCAAACTGGAATTCTCTCAATACTGTTATCAAAGGCTCTGATTTAGCAAATAAATGTGTCACAACTCTTACTGTTTACAATGTGCTTTTTGTGCTTACCAAACATTTCTTCATCCCAAATCAGTGATACTTGTTTATTAAAACAATGTATAAATATTTGAAGTCTGAGACTAAATGAAAAAAAAAAAAATACAATTCTACTTGGCTCTAGCTTGACTACCTTCTATGACTGAACAAAAAAGAAAGCATACTGTACCTGTCAAGATTTAAAGTTCCTGTGTATATAAACTCCAACAGTTTCTGAAATCCATCAGCTTTCACCTGACTTTGATCAAGAAAAACATTGTTCTCAGAAGTGCTTCTGTAGATCGCACCAAAATACTCACTAAAGGAGGCAAGCACATTCCTATGTGCTTTAAACTGGAATTCTCCAATCACCACAGTGCAGTCACAAAGAAAACCAGCTTCCCGCTGCTTGTTCAGTCTCTCTAGAAGATGCTCACAGTGATGTGAGTACTGCATTTTGATATCAGAATGCAAGTTTACTCTTGACCTAAAAGGCATAAAGAAATAGCACATCAGTAATCACAAGCTTTCATCAAATGCAATTGAGGCATGGGAGTAGCAAGTGGAGAAAAAACAAAGGAAATGACATGAAAAATAGTTAGCTTTCATTCTGTCCCCTCCAAAAATCATCATCAACTACACATCATTTAAAAAAATCCATGGGGCTGGGAGGGTGGCTCAGTGGTAGAGCGCTTGCCTTGCATGCCTGAGGCCCTGGGTTCAATTCCTCAGCACCACATAAGCAAAAAGAAAAAAGCCAGAAGTGGCGCTATGACTCAAGTGGTAGAGCGCTAGCCTTGAGCTGAAGAGCTGAGGGACAGCGCCCAGGCCCAGAGTTCAGGCCCCACGACCAGACCCCCCAAAAAATAAATAATAAAAAAAAATAAAAAATCCAAGTGCCTCTCTTCTTTTTGTTTCACCATGGACACCATGGACATGCGTCCCCAGGACACATCAATAAATGACAGTAAATAAAACAATTCTGTGGGCTGCAAAAAGGGTGGAATCAAAAAAATAATGTAGGGCTGGGAATGTGGCTTAGTAGTAGAGTTGCCTGCCTAGCATGCATGGAGCCCTGGGTTCAATTCCTCAGTACCACGTAAACAGAAAAAGCTGTAAGTGGTGCTGTGGCTTAAGTGGTAGAGTGCTAGCCTTGAGTAAAAGCTCAGCCAGGCCCAGGACTATGTGTGTGTGTGTGTGTGCGCACAGAGATGTACATATATACATGCATGTATATATAGTTATTATGAAGGTGATGTACAAAGAGCTTACAGGTATGTAAAGTTAGGTTAGGTTAGGTAAAGAGGGAAGTGGCGCTGTAGCTCAAGTGGTAGAGCGCTCATCTTCAGCTGAAGAGCTGAGGGACAGTGCCCAGGCCCAGAGTTCAAGCCCCATGACCGACAAAAAAATAAAAATAAAAAAATAAAAAAAAAAACTTAGGCAAAGAGTACATTTTTTGGGGGGACAATGTTACCCCTCCCCTCCCTCTCTCCCAGTTTTTCCCTCCTGTCCCCACCCACAAGTTGCAGTTCACTTGTAGCACTGTGTCTAGTAGCATAGTGTCTGCTGCATTTGTTCACTCTTGGTCCCTCCATTATCCTCCTAAAGACAGATAAACGAACAAATAACACAAACAGAATGCAACAAAGAAAAGAAAAACCCTCTTGTTCATTTCCTGGAGTTCATTTCAGTAAATACTATTTTAAATTACCAGATGCACATATAGGCATTGCACCTTTGAAGGGTGGACATTTTTAAGTTGAACTCTCAAACTTTCAAGGTAAGTAGGCAGATGTGCAGAGGGAGGAGGGACAACAAACCACTTAAGAGATGACTCTCTGGAACAGAAAGGGGGTGAGAACACAGTACTACTTCCTCTCAAATCACTAAAACCTGTGAGTTCCCACCTAGCAGTTTCTGCAAAGCACGAGGTGAGTGCGGGGAAGCGGGAATGTAGGTGCTGGGCCTGGGCTGCCCAAGGTTCTGTCGAGCCTGGAAGCGGCACCCTTTCCCTCAACACAGGCCACAGGTCACACCTCCTTCTCCCCAGTCACCTGCCCTGAGGGCAGGCTACACTCCACCGAGCAGACCTACCCCCTCCCTTGTCACCAGCTCAGGGGAGAGACCTCACTCCTCCCTTGTCACCTGCCCAGAGACCACACACACCCCTCCCTCGTCACCAGCGAGGACGTCACACCCCGGGCCCTAATCCCCTGCTCAGAAGAGGCCAAATTTTCTCCCTTCACCTCCCTAGTGTTTCCTTGGCACCGGCCGGGAGGCCACCCTGACACGCTTGTCACCTGTCCGGAGGCCACACCCCCTTGTCACCTGTCCGGAGGCCACACGTCCCCAACCCAGGCTCTCCACGCAAGGCCGCAACAGAGGGCGACCACCGAAGCCAGGCCCTCCCGGCCCCGGCGGCCCGGTCCTCCTCCCAGCTTCCCTCCCGCGAATTCCCACGGCAGAGATGGTGGCCGGGGCCATTGCCGGGGCTACTTCACCTCAGCTTCCCGCCAGCGCCGCGACCCGCCCTGGAACTCCAAGGAGCCGGCCTTCGGACGGCCGGGAACCTGGAGCAGGCGAAGACGGGGCCAGGGATGAAGTCAGCACTCACCGGTAGCCGCCCAGAGGAACCAGTTCTTTCACTCTCTCTCCGCCATCTTGGCAGGACGTCACTGCGCCACGCTCCGCCTCTCCCTCCAGCCTCCCGGCGACGTCACATCCGGCTCCATCCTCGCCGCGATCTAGGACGCTCCGGAGCCCCGGCAGGTCCGGGCCACCGGCACAGCTGCGCGTCTCCAGCATACTACAGTCCCCTCGAAACAGCGGGCATCAGAAGTGCGAGAAGTCAGGGATCGTTCGCCGCACCGCACCGTCTTCCTCACGCTGAGCGATCCGGTCGGCCCGAATTCTCCCGGTCCTGCCGCTCAGCCGGCTTCTTCCGGAGCCGCGCCGCACGGTGCATGCTGGGACTTGTAGTTCTTGGTCTCGTCCCGTCTTCCTCCCCAGCTTCTGGCCCCTCCCCGTGGAAGCTGCTGCTTTGTGCACTCTGGCCCGCGGCCGTGGAGATTGTACTCGCTGAGACCCATCGCCTCTTCCCCGTTTTCGTATCCCAAAACTCATAGGACCCTCTGGGTTTTGTTTGCGCCAGCCAACAGCACCTGACCTTCCAAGATGCCCTTACCTGGTGATAGAAGTCTCAGACGCACGAAAGCGAAGCATAGCAGTGGGGCAGACTGCACATGCGCAGCGCGAGAGGAAGGTGGGCTCCCACACCGGAAAAGGTTTCCTCGCCCCTGGATCAGATCACTTAATTCGATTATCTGCATCCACTGGAGGGTTTTGTAGAGGGAAGGTTAGTGTGCACAGAAGTGGTTGGGAACAATATCTTGTTGATAGGTTCAGGCAGCTTTCTCCTTGAGTGGCGGTGGATATTCTAAATCTCAGAAAACCACCACTTCTTAAAAGTTTCGCTGTGCCGGGCGCCGGTGGTTCGCGCCTGCAGTCCTAACTACTCGGGAGACTGAGATCTTCAGATCTCAGTAGCAAGTGTGTAAGTGAAAGTGAATGGCAGAGGACAAATACTATTTAAAAAAAAAATACTTGGTGTCTGTATAAAAAGAGCATAAGAAAGCTCATAGAAGGGTACTGGGGACAGGGAAAGACCACAGTAGATAATCTGATCATATGCGCGCCGTGATTTGCCACGGTGAAGCTTCTTTGTATAATTCATATATGCAAAAACTGGCAAAATAAAACAGCCTCTACTGGGGAGTTGAAGGGCCCAAAGTTGAGGGTGAATCTGGTTAAAATACTTTCTTTGCATATGTGACAATAAAACGCTGAAACTTGTTGAAATTGTTTCAAGAAGGGCAAGGAAATGGTTAAGGGAGGGTTGGAAGAGTTTCTGCAGGGTACATTGCTTGTATGGAAGTGTCACAATGAAACCTCCTGCTGAATAACTAATGACTAATAAAGAAAAAATGTGTTTTTGCCATAAGGAATTTATTCATGCCTTCGTTTTAATGAATATTCTCAACCTGAATTAGTCCTTTGTTCTAAGATTTTCCCTACCAGAATCTTTTTGCTGTCGATATACCCATTTCTGTTTGAGTCATATTTGTAAGTGAAACCACACCCGTTGTGTTCACAAGGAAAATTGTGAGGCCGGTTCTCAATTTCTTCAGTATAAAATCGCCTTGCTTTTTTTGATGATATATTCAGAAATATTTGTGAATTTAACATATACAGTAAGAATACAACTGTGTGCCCGAGGTTCAAGGGAAAAGTTCATCTCGAGGGGAAAACTACGTGACAGAATACTTAGGAGGTGGCAAAGCAGACAAATGTAATGCTGTTTGACCTCTTCTAGACTACACGTTTCGCAATATTACCCTAGTTGCAAATCTAATTCAGTTTTTTTTTTTTTAAATCTGGGGTGTTTCTGATGGGCGAAGTCCTTCAGACTGCACGTCTGGTAAACACAAAATCTAACATGCAGCCTAAACGTTCACATTTCACAAATTGTCAAGATCACGTCATTTGAAAATAAGCCAAGTACCCAATAATAAAATCAAGCGAGAAAAGAAGAGGACACCAGCTGTTTCCGCCCGGTTTCGAACCGGGGACCTTTCGCGTGTTAGGCGAACGTGATAACCACTACACTACGGAAACGGAGCTGTCTGTGGGTGTCCTGGAACTCGTTGATATCTCTGTCATACTGTGCACTTTGCCGAAAGGCAAATTTCTTTCTATGGGATGGTGGTGATGTGGAACCCAAAAGACCACGGTTTAAACGGTGTGTTAAAACGACCTCAAAAGCTTGAATTTGCGTACGGCTTTCTGAAAGGCGCAGTCGCCGCGTCTGTAGAAACCAGGTAATCCCTGGTCTTGCTCCTTTGGAGGTGCTCCCCTCCCCCCCCCCCCCCCCCCCCCCGGCCCCCAGAGAAGCGCTTGACTACACTTCCTTCCCCCGGGTCCCGCGCAAAAGCCCGGGGCGAGTTACCCGGTTTCTTCTGCAAGGGAGGGCGGAGGCCCAGGTTCTAGCGCTGGCGACTGGCGCCCAGTACCCAACCCCCTCTTATTAGCCGGGAAAAAACACATACACACAAGCATGCATACACACATGCATGCATGCACACATGCATGCATGCATACACACACACACACACACACACACACACACACACACACACACACATAGAAGCAAAGCCCAGGGCGCAGCCTCTGGGGGAGGGACGCGCGCACGCCCCCTCGGCAAGCAACCTCAGATTCCGAAGATGCTCTTTTTCACCACGGGGAGCGTTTTTGTTTTCTGGATCTAAACTTCGTATGAGTATTACTTTTCCTAAAAAGAGGAAGACACATTCTTACGATTAAAAAAAAAGTTGGTAGGTGAAGATCAGCTCCTGCGGATCAGGAAAAATACAATCCCGAGGCTGACATTTTAACTGAATATTTATGTAACTGAATATTTATATTTGCACGTTCTCGCTGTGTATGTTATCTAGAATACAGAATACATCTCGCCAGAGGAAATCCAAGGCATCGCTCAGCACACAGGCACGATCTTGGACGTCTCTGAACTCGTCTGCACCTGGCACTGCTTCCATTCTCGGGTTAGAAGCGGAGCACTTCAGACGGCACGGCTGGTTTTCCTCTCGGGCGCGCTCCCCGGGTTTCCCCGCGGGCCCGGAAACGTACCCCGGTTCGCTCCACTCCGGCGGCGGCGTTGGGAAGGGGCAGACGCGCGTGGAGGGGAGTCAGCTTTTCCGGGTATTGGGGTCGGGGGGCGCGGATGGCGCAGCCCCCCGCGCCCTGTGATCGCAGGAGAAGACTATAGTCACTGTCTGGGGACCCCCCCATCCTCATCCCCCATCTCCCCGGGGTCCCCTCCAGCCCGGCTCCCGCCCCGTAGGCTCCTTTGTGACGCGGCGTTCCAGGTCCCGGGCCCGGCACAGCCCAGAAGAGGGGCGGCCGGGCGGCTGTGCGCGGCGGGGGCAGCGGCATGAGCGGCTACCAGCTCCCGGTGGTGATCGACAACGGCTCGGGGACGATCAAGGCGGGCCTGGCGGGGAGCCGGGAGCCGCAGTTCCTCTACCCGAACATAGTCGGCCGCGCCAAGGGCCCGAAGGGGGCGGAGGGCGCGCAGGATCTGTGCGTGGGCGACCAGGCGCAGGACCGGCGGGGCGCGCTGTCCATCAGGTGCCTCGCCCGAGCGGCGGGGCGGGAACGGATGGCGGGATCGGGAGCGCGGGGACGGGGGCGGGACCGGGTCGTGGCGGAGGACGGGACCGCGGGGCCCCGGAGCCGGGGACGGGGGAGGGACGGGGGACCCAGAGCCCGGGAGCGGGGTGAGCGGGGTGACAGACAGGATCAGGTCTTGGGACCCGGAAGTCTCAGCCGGTTCCCCTTGTTGAAAACTGCACCCCAGGCCACTGATCGCCTTGGGTACCCAACGTGGAAAGGCTGAACTTCGTACAAATGCTTAGAAAGTCATCGTGTACAAGTTCATTTAAGAATGTTACAGTTTAGGTGCTTTTTCATTTTGAGTTTTCAGTTAGTTGACATTACAACCATAAATAACGGAGCGCTGGTGGCTCACGCCTGTAATCATAGCTATTCAAGGAGGCTGAGATCTAGGATCTGGGTTCAAAGCCAGCCCTATCATGAAAGTCCATGGACCCTGATCTCCAACTATCCAATAAAAAGCCAGCATTTGCTGTGGCTCAAATGGTAGAACACCAACCCTGAGCGAAAAGATGGACAGTGCTCAGCCCCCAGTGTAAGCTCCCATTACCTCTGAACAAAAAATAAGATAGTATAATAACGTGGGATTTCCCAAATGTTGTAAAGTCGCAAGCTTCCAAAGGGGGAAAAGGTGGAGAGGAATAATTGATTTCAGAGAAACGTAGCTGTGCTCGCGTTTGGTGAGTTAACTGCCCATGAAGGGACTGTTAGGAACAGCAGTTCCTCCAAGATTTGAAGATAGTAGAAACTGGAACACTTACTGCCTCTATTGCTCTCCATCCAGCTATCCAGTGGAGCGTGGACTCATTACTTCTTGGGGAGACATGGAGGTCATGTGGAAGCACATCTTTGATTACAACCTCAAGTTAAACCCCTGTGATGGCCCAGTCTTGATTACCGAGCCTGCCCTGAACCCTCTAGCCAGTAGGCAGCAGATCTGTGAAGTGTTTTTTGAGAATCTGGGTGTTCCTGCCTTCTATATATCCATCCAAGCCGTGCTAGCGCTCTTTGCTTCTGGCTTCACTAGTGGCTTGGTGCTGAATTCGGGGGCTGGAGTTACCCAGTCTGTGCCCATCTTTGAAGGTTACTGTCTGCCTCATGGTGTACAGCAGCTAAATCTAGCAGGTGCTGATTTCACCAACTATCTCATGATGTTATTGAAGAACCACGGTATCATGCTGCTGAATGCTGCAGACAGAAAGATTGTCACCAGCATCAAGGAGACTCGTTGTTACGTGGCTTTGAACTACGAGGAGGAAGTGGCCAAGCAGTCGAGTGTTTTGGAGAAAGAGTACACACTACCGGATGGGAAGGTCCTCAAGCTCAAAGACGAGCTGTTTCGATGTCCTGAAGTTCTCTTCTCTCCATGTCTCATGAACCTTGATGTTCCTGGCATCGACAAGATGTGCTTCAGCAGCATAATGAAATGTGATGCGGATCTGAGGAATTCCTTCTTCTCCAATATTATCCTTGCAGGAGGATCAACCTCCTTCCCTGGTTTAGA